GGCTTCCCGGCTCCGCCCCTGCCCACCTGCCACGCCCCTTGGAACCAGCCCCGCTACCCCGCCCTATTTCGTGGAAGCCGCCTCCAGGCCCCACCCACTCAACCTAGGCCCCGCCTTACTTATCTAAATCCCCACCTACTCCCTCCACGGAGGCCCCGCCTCCTACCGGCTACCTCCTTTTACCCCCAATCCTCTTGCGCTCCTTCTCCGGAAGGACGAACTGAAAACCCGGAAAAGGGATCTGGAAACTCCAGCAGGCACATTGCGCTTGCGCATGGGGGGGCCGGAAGTAGAGCCAGAGTTATTCTGCTTCCGTTTCTGGTTTTGCTCCAGTGTTTGGGTCTCTTCGCGGCCGGTCAAGATGAATCGATTCTTCGGGAAGGCGAAACCCAAGGCTCCGCCGCCCAGCCTGACTGACTGCATTGGCACGGTGGGCACTTGACCATGCATAACTAGGTTCAGAGCTTCTGACACCCCGACCCCGCCCACCCCCGGCCTCGGGCTCCTACTCCTCCACCCCATTCCCTGTGTTCCTGGCCCCTTTCACTTCGGCCATCTCCATCCCGCTTTCATCCCTTCATCCGCTTACCCAAGTCATTCCTAACGCCACAAACCTGGGATCCTCTAGCCCCATCACCCTATCTGATTCGCAATCCCGTTCTGATGCCTATTGTCCCGTCTACTCGCTCTCGCCTTGACCCCCTCACCTCATCTAGCCCTGGGGCCATACACCCGTCCCACCTTGTCCAGCCTGACTCCTTACCCGTCCCTAGTCCCTCATCCCTTGCCGACCTCAGGACTCTCAGTTTGATATCTTAGGTCACTTACCTGTTCCTCAATCTTGGATCTCAGTAACACAAAATCCGGAACCCTGGCCCTTCAGATTAAGCCACTATCCCAGATCTAGGGACTGGCATTAGATCTATGGTTTTAGCCACTGTCTACTGGACACAGGCCCATTTCATGTGCCTCCTGGTTAACCTCTCAGCTTGGCTGGTCTGATTCCAGGGACATTCCAACTTAGCTCTTCAGCCCAGTGACACTTGAATTATTTTTCTGCCCCAGTATACTTGATATATCAGAATCACTGTACTCAGTATATCAGAATCTGGAGGGCAAAGAATAGTTTATAAAAACTCTCCAATGTTTCTGATTAGGAAACTCCGCCCCATGTGAACCACTGTTTTCCACTCTTCACCATAAACCCTTCTTTTTCTTTTTTTCTTTATATTCCTTCCTTTCCTCCTGCTTCTTCCAGTATAAGTATACTGTAATAACTACGAGTGCATTTGATATTTTCCCCCAAGGTGGACAGCAGGGCGGAATCCATTGACAAGAAGATTTCTCGGTTGGATGCTGAACTAGTGAAGTATAAGGATCAGATCAAGAAGATGAGAGAGGGTCCTGCAAAGGTAAGGTAGGCAGCAGCTGCTGCAGCCTAATTTGAACACCTGTAGAATTTGGACCTGATTGTAGGGACTGGTGAAGGATGCAGAATAGATGCTCACAGTCTGGTAAGGGGAAAACATATGTGAGGATATATCCTTCAGGGAAGAGAGTTTGCAGCCAGATTGGGGAGGGAGACTGGGGTTTGACTTGGTGGAGAGAAGATGCTGATCCAGTGTCCCGAAGCATGTACATGGGAATTAGCATATTCTACTAAGGTTGCAATCTGGGGAGGAGGGATGGACTGTGCTCAGGATCTGTGAGTTGCCAGGCTGGTCAGATTAGGTCAGTATAATAGACTGGTTAAGGAGTGGCCTGTTGAACTAGGCATCTGGGACCAGTGTTCTCACCCTGTCACTACCTATTAGTTGTGACCTTGATAAAGTCACTTAACTTTTTTTCCACTCCTGTGAGGTAGGAACATAGAGTACTGTGTTTAAGCACATGCACTATGGATAGTACTATGGATATAAAGCTACCTGGTTAATAAGCTGTAACTTATTAACCATGTGAGCTAAGGCATCACTGAACCTTAATTTTCCCTTCTGTAAAATGGGGAACATATCACTTTCTAGTGTGAGAATTAAATGAGGTAATTTGTGTGACCTTCGTGGCACTATGTGTAATACATACTACTCAGTAAATGTTAGTTATTATTGTCTGTAAAGTAATAATATCTGCTTTTCCTTCCTCACTGGGGCAAGTAAAGGGATATATGGAGCAATATACAAAAGGGAGGCTTTTCCCAGCTATCTTAGTTGATGGAATGGGGAGCAACCAGAGGCAGGAAAGCCCATGTAGACCTGAGGAGATGAAAGCCCAAACCCTGGTGGTAGTCATGAGAGTGACATGAAAGGAATCAGTTTGAAAGTGAGTTCTGAAAGTCAGTAAACAGTATGACTGTGCATGAAGAGACAATGGAGAAGAAACATAAGGTTGATGCAAAGGTTCTCAACCTAGAGAAGTGAGATTTTGGAGCTGTTGTTACTTCGAAAGTGTGATAAGGTTGACGAGTTTGGGCATATTGAGCTTGAGTTGAGATATTCAAGTGGAGAATCTCCATAAGGCAACTGGATATACAAAATCAGCACTGTTGGCCTGTAAGTAGAGATAATATGCATTAAGAAAAGGGAGAGTAGTTCAGGATACTGAGATGTGGGATACAAAGACAGGTGCTAAGGCCTGAAGATTGGACGCTAGAGGTGTCTGTCTGTGCTGGAATGGGGAAGAACAGTAGCAGCCACTATATCTACTACTTTGAAGAAGAGAGCAAGTAGGCATGTGAGTTTGAGGATGTGGGAGGTTTATTTCATGTATGTTTTCTACTTTGTTTTTATTCAATCTGTTCTTTCCCTAGAATATGGTCAAGCAGAAAGCCTTGAGAGTTTTAAAGCAAAAGCGGATGTAAGTTATTTGCATCATCTCTATCATCTTTCCCTTTGGAAGGTTTAATGAAAAGGGAAATGGTCTTCCATTCCTTCAGGTTTTCAAACCATTCTCTACACATTCTTGATTTAATTACACATTTTCATCAATTTAGCTGGGTTTTCCCCCACGTGTTCAGCTGTTGTAATACCTTCTATCTGAATAAAACTTTTTCCATGATGGAGATGTTCTATATCTGAGTGTCCGGTACAGTAGCTGTTAATCATGTGTGGCTATTGAGCACTTAAAATGTGACTAGTGTGAGTAAGGAACTGAGGCTTACATCTAATTTTAGTAATTTAAGTAGCCATATGTAGCTATTGACTATTGTTTTAGACTGACCAGATCTATAGGGTTTGGCTCTCCCATTATTTATTTAGAGTGCGCCTTTTTGTTTTTGTTTGTAAAGTTAGGATTCCTGAATATTTGTTCACTCCTACCAGATAGATTTAAGGATCCTTAATTTATTTTAAAGAGCCATGTCCCAATTTTGAGGAAAGGCCAAATAGTATCTATGGTGCTTACTACTGCTGTTGAGCTGATGAAATCCTCTGCAGGGTTGTGGGGGTCAGGTTTAATTAGTTAATAGAGAACCGGAAAAATTGTTGTTATCTCTCTTTTATTTATTTATTTATTTTGAGTTAGAGTCTCACTCTGTCGCCCAGACTGGAGTGCAGTGGCCGCTCCCGGCCACCGCAGCCTCGACCTACCAGGCTCCAGCGATCCTTCCGCCTCAGCCTTCCAAGTAGCTGGAACTACAGGCACGCGCTGCCATGCTCGGCTAATTTTTTTTTTTTTTTGATTTATTGTAGAGATGAGGTCTCGCCAAGTTGCCTAGGCGGGTCTCGAATCCGCGGGCTCAGGCAATCCACTCACCTCAGCCTCCCAAAGCACGGGATTACAGGCTGAGCCACCGAGCCCGGCTTATCTCTTTTTTAAAATGACTTTTTGGAAGACATCAGATGCCATCTTCCTCCTTTTAGGTTAGGTCAAATTGGAAAAAGATATTGTAATGCCTAGAGTGGTGAGAATATGGTGAAATGATTACATTCTTAATAGGTAGCTTTTTTTTTTAATCAGGATCTCACTCTGTTACCCAGGCTGGAGTGCAGTGGCACTATCATGACTCACTGCAGCCTTGACCTCCTGGACTCAGGCGATCCTTCTGCCATAGCCTCTTAAAGTAGCTGGGATATAAACATGTGCCACCACACCTGGCTAATTTTTTTTATTTTTTGTGGAGATGAGGTCTCTCCAAGTTGTCTAGGCTGGTCCCAAAATTAGCATTGCAATTTCTTTTTTTAGCATTGTGGTGTACAAGTGGGGATTTACTACATAAGTAGGTTGCATGCAGGTGAAATTTGGGCTTCTAGCTGGCCCTCTTTCCCCTGATAGTGGACCAGGTACCCAGTGTATTGCCACATGCCTCCCTCTCTTTCCTCCCTCTTTCCCCTAGCGGTGTCCAACATCTGCTGATCCCACCCTTGTGCTAGTGTGACCAGTGATCAGGGCCCGCTTATGAGTGAGGACTTTCAGTATTCAGTTTTTTGTTTCTGTGATAGTTCACTTATTATGATGGTCTACAGCTGCATCCAAGTTGCTGTGAAGGCCATGATTTTATTCTTTATGGCTGCAGCATTGCCATTCATTGTAGAAGCTTGGAAAATAGATAAATATGAACAGAAGAAAATAAAATTTACCTAGATTCCTACTACTAGAAGTAGCCACCTTTAAAATGTCGATTTCTTCTCATTTTTTTTTCTATGCTTATGTATACATGGCATGTGAGCATATAATTTTTAGAAGAAATCTGAAATTATAGTATGTATGTACAGGTTATCCTTTCTGCTTAATGTTATATCACAAACGTTTCCCTGTTCTTTTATTTTATTTTTTGAGTCGGCGTCTCACCCTGTCACCCAGGCTGGAATACAGTAGCATGATCATGGTTCACTGCAACTTCTACCTCCTGGGCTTAGGGAATCCTCCCACTTCAGCCTCTTAATTAGACATGCACCACCTTGCCAGATTAATATTTTAATTTTTTGTAAAGACCAGATCTCTCTATGTTGCCTGTGCTGGTCTTAAACTCCTGGCCTCAAGCAATCCTTCCATCTCGGCCTCCCAAAGTGCTGGGATTGCAGGCTATATTCTTTTAAATATTCTTTAGAAACTTTATGTCTTTTAATGAAATCATAATATTCCACCATTTGCATGCACCACGAATTGACCATTTTTCTTCTGGTTGGATATTTATTTATTTATTTATTTTTTATTTTTTTTTTTTTGAGTTGGAGTCTCACTCTGTCGCCCAGACTGGAGTGCAGTGGCCACTCCCGGCCACCGCAGCCTTGACCTGCTGGGCTCCGGCGATCCTTCCACCTCAGCCTTCCGAGTAGCCGGAATTACAGGCATGCGCTACCATGCCCGGCTGATTTTTTGATTTTTTGTAGAGATGAGGTCTCGCTGCCCAGGCGGGTCTCGAACCCACGGGCTCAGGCAGTCTACTCACCTCAGCCTCCCAAAGGTGCAGGATTACAGGCTGAGCCACCGAGCCCGGCTCCAGTTGGATATTTAGATGGTTTCCAAACATTATATAAAAACCATAGTGTTAAAAATCTTTGAAATAATATAATTTGATATGAAACTATTTTTAAGAACACATTTTGAGTACCAGACATTATATTAGGTTAGATGGATTACCTAATTATGGGTACAAGATTAATAAAATATAATACCTAGGTGGAAGAATCCACCTGAGCCCAGCAGCCTTCCAAGTAGTCTTATCTGCTGGGTGTGGTGGCTCACACCTATAATCCCAGCACTTTGGGAGGCCTAGGCAAGAGGCTTACCTGAGCCCAGAGGCTTGAGACCAGCCTGGACAACTTGGTGAGACTTTGTCTCTACACTAAATAAAAAAATTAGCTGGGCATGGTGGCACATACCTGTGGTTCTGCTACTTGGAAGGCTAAGACAGAAGGATTGCCTGAGCCCAGCAGCTTGAGGCTGCGGTGGCCGTGAGTATGTCATTGCACTCCAGCCTGGGCAACAGAGTGAGACTCTGACTCAAAAAAAAAAAGATATGTAGCAATGCAGAAAAAAGCAAATACTGTAACATTAAGTGGGAGATATTGTTATAACTAAAATATAGTCTTGCACTACACAACAGTGTTTTGGTCAACAACAAATATTTAATGATTGCCCATAAGATTATGATACCGTATTTTTACTGTGCCTTTTCTATGTTAAGATTTACAAATACTTAATCACTGTGTTACAGTAGCCTGTGGTATTAAGTACAGTCACATGCTGTACAGGTTAGTAGCCTAGGAGCAATAGGCTATGTTTTATAGTCCAGGTGTGTAGTAGGCTATACAATCTAAGTTTGTGCACTATGATGTTCACACAACAATGAAATTGCTTAATGGCACATTTTTTAGAACATATCCCCATTGTTAAGTGACATATAACTAACTGTACATGTAAAAGAGAAAGACTGGAGGGACATGCCAAATGGTATTTCTGTTAAGTAAATAGTTTTTGCCACTTTTTTCTGTATGTTACTTTAGTTTATTTAGTATAGGGATACATTCTTCCTGAAAATTCTTGCCTGGCTCACATTTACTATTCTCAATTGACCCTAAAAGGTATGAGCAGCAGCGGGACAATCTGGCCCAACAGTCATTTAACATGGAACAAGCCAATTACACCATCCAGTCTTTGAAGGACACCAAGACCACGGTACTCCCAGACCCCCTTTTCCTATTATTTCCTGTTTTTACTCTTATGCTCTATTCCTATGGTTTTTTAAAAGTCTGTTTAACCAATATGACTTCTTAAGATATTGTGTTTTCTTCTACCTTTTTTTAGGTTGATGCTATGAAACTGGGAGTAAAGGAAATGAAGAAAGCATATAAGCAAGTGAAAATTGACCAGATTGAGGTGAGATGTATGCTAGCTTCTGCATAATGTGCACTATATTCTGAAAGAATCCAAATGAAGGGGTGTGTGATGGGAAGAGCACAAAAGAGGGATTGAACCTTGGGCATGCCATTTACTAGGAGAGTAAATTTGAGAAAAGGGTATCAAAGGGCTCAGTTTCCTCATTATTGATGCAAGGATCCTAATACCACATACAGTTACAAACGGTTCCCAAGTTACGATGGTTTGACTTACGATTTTTCAACTTTATGATGGTGTAAAAGTGATATGCATTCAGTAGGACACCACACTTAAGTACTCATACAGCCATCTGTTTTTCACTTTCAGTACAATATTCTGTAAATTAAGTGAAATACTCAACACTGTATTTGTTTATTTATTTATTTTGAGTTGGGGTCTCACAGTGTCGCTCAGGCTGGAGTGCAGTGGAACAATCACTGCCCACCATAACCTTGAACTCTAGGACTCAGATGATCCTCCTGCCTCAGCCTCCTGAATAGCTGCGGCTGCAGGCATGTGCCTCCACACCCAGCTAATTTTTCTATTTTTTATAGAAACAAGGTCTTGCTTTCTTGCCCATGCTGGTCTCAAACTCCTGGCCTCGTGTGCCTGGTCTCAACTGATCCTCCCACCTCAGCCTCCCAAAGTGTTGACGTTACAGGCATGAACCACCGTACCCAGCTCAAATCTACTTATGATATTTACAACTTATAGTGGATTTATTGGGTCATGACCTCATTCTAAGTTGAGGAGCATCTATATTATGAGGATAAGATAATTGAGGTAGTATATGTACATGCACATTTACTGGGTCATAAGAAACATAGTTACTTCTAACTCACTTAAAGATTTTTAATGGTGGTGTTACCTGTCTCCCAGGATTGTTACAAGTGTAAAATGAGGATATGTATGAGAAGTGTATGTAAAGTGCTTAGTACAGTTTCTGGCATAGAGTTGGTTCCCTTGTCTAATAATTTTCTTTAGAGCTTTAATGTCTTTTTAAACTTCAGCTACTTTATTTGATTTGATTTGATTTTGTGAGTTGCAGTGTCTGCTACCAGGCACTGCAGGCTCAACCTGCTGGGCTCCAGCGATCCTTCCGCCTCAGCCTTCCAAGTAGCTGGAACCATAGGTGTGCGCAACCACACCCAGCTAATTTTTTTATTTATTGTAGAGTTGAGGTCTCGCCAAGTTGCCCAGGCAGGTCTCGCACCTGCAAGCTCAGGCAATCCACTCACCTCAGCCTCCCAAAGCGCTGGGATTACAGGCTGAGCCACTGAGCCCAGCTAATAATGTCTTTAGTTCCTTAAAATTACTATTTTTTTTTTCTTGGAATTGGGTTTTGGCCAGGGAGGTAAGCCCTAAGAACCCTAAGAGCCGTCAGGTGAACAACCCAGGTGGCAAGCAGAGATAGCAGAAGGAGTGAGTGGTGACTGGCCAGAGGAGAGAGTCTACTTTCTGATATAACAGTGCTCTTTACTTTCTGACTAGAGTGTCTGTGTCATTGTGGGCAGGGACTTGATTTTGTTCACTCTTGTTTCCGCAGTGCCCAGAACAATGCCTGGCCATAGTGCTCAGAAAGTGTTTGATGATTAGTGAATGAGAGGCTATTACAGGAGATAAGGTAGTACTGCCCAATTCAAGCAGTGTTTGGTGGGTGAACAATTACTAGTAGCAGGCATCTTACTGCCTCTGGAGAGGCATTCTTTGGCAGTGCAGATCTTTAGTAAGAGCCAAGGCATTTCTCCCCTCTCTTACTTTTTTTGAGTATCCTGGGCCATCTTTAATCCTTCACAAGTGTCTGCTTACATGGAATTAAGCTTTGTGGTATCTTCTAGGAATTTGAGAAAAATGTTCTATGTACACTTACCTTTTTTGTGTAATGCCATTTGCTAGTAAAATATAATGAAAAGCAGTTATATTTTCTTCTTTTAGGGTTCCTTGTGTTTTCTTTTTTTTGTGTTGTTCTTTTTTCTTTCTTTTTTCTTTCTTTTTTTTTTTTTTTTTTGAGTTGGAATCTCACTCTGTTGTCTAGGCTGGACTGCAGTGGCACACTCATGACCATCACAGCCTTGACCCGCTGTGCTCAGGCGATCCTTCTGCCTCAGCCTTCTAAGTAACTGGAACTACAGGCATGCCCAGCTAATTTTTTTATTTTTTGTAGAGATGAGGTCTCACCGAGTTGTCCAGACTGGTCTCGAACCCGTGGACTCAGGCAGTCCTTTCACCTCAGCCTCCCAAAGTGCTGGGATTATACGCATGAGCCACTGTGCCTAGCCTCTAACTATTTTTTAACTCCATTTTGCTTTCTACCCTTTTCACCTTTATATAGAAAAACAAACCTACTCTAATTTGGGGGCCAGGAAGGAATTTTCAAATATCTTGCTTTGCTGTAGAAATTCTGAAGGATAAAAAGTGCCGATTTGGACCTGCTGCTTTATCAGCACTAGTTCTGCGCTCCTCTTTGTGAAATGTTAGTATGTGAAGAGCATATTGTTGTTCTGCACATTCTTAACACAGTAGGGTATATCTAGGATTAGGTGCTCAGTGTTTCACATGTATTATTGCAATAAGCTCTTACAATAAACCTATGAGCTATGGCTATTAGTAATTCCATTTTTGCTGGGTGTAATGGCTCACACCTGTAATCCCAGCACTTTGGGATGCAGAGGTGAGAGGATTGCCTGAGCCCAGGGTTTCGAGACCAGCCCAGGCAACATGGCGAGACCTCGTCTCTACGATAAATCAAAAAATTAGTTGGGTGTGGTGGCATGCACCTATGGTTCCAGCTACTTGGATGGCTGAGGCAGAAGGATCACCTGAGCCCAGCAGGTTGAGGCTGCAGTGACTGTTAGCATGCCACTGCACTCCAGTCTGGGTGACAGAGTAAGACTCTGACTCTAAATAAATAAATAAATCCATTTTGCAAATGGGGAAATTGAGGCTTAGAAACATTGCTTCTCACTGAGTAATGGTAAAATTTGGATATGTCTGATTCCAGAGTTTGCCCTTCTAACCATTATTTGTTATGCTGTGCCACTTTTCCATTGGTTTCACGTTACAGTTGGCCATTGAGCAATATGGTTTTGAACTGTGGCTTCTTTTTAACCAAATGCAGATAGATAATATAGCATTCATCGAATGCAATACTCACCTATTCAGAGGGTCAGCTTTTTTATGCTAGGTCCACAGGGCCAACTAGGGACCTTAGTATGCCCAGGTTTTGGTATACACAGGCATCCTGGAACCAATCCCCCATGTCTATGGAGGGATAACTATATGCATATATTTAGCCTGGTGGTAGTCTCCCAGTTAAGCACTGGAAGATCATTCACAGATGAGTTATGCTCTCAGTTTCTTTTTTTTACCAGCCTAGTCTCATGTCAAGCCTATCATGATTTCCTTTTGGTTTCCCATCCATGGTAGGACTAGTACAACTTTTTGTACCACCAAAAATTGTTTCTGCTATTGCCTCCTTTCCTTATATATTATAGTCTGTCTTTGGCTGACTAGAGAAGAGTAATTTGCTTGTCTCAATTAACTTCCTTTTCTCCACTAACTAGGACAATGTTGATAAATGTTGCTTGCCTGAATCTTTCAAGTCAAACCTTCTGTAACAGTAGAGAGCTGATAGGCATCTATTCTCATAATAGGACATTGGATTTCCATGAGGCACCTTGAAATCAAATGCAAGATCACCAGTTCTTCTCTTCTTTATTTTTAAATTCACATTTTGCCACCAATAAGAGGAAAGAGATTATGTGGGTCTGTGACATTCGTAGTTATTGTTAGAGGAAATCTCTGAGCTTGTATTTTTTAGTTCTTTTTTTTTTTTTTTTTAAGTTGGATTCTCACTCCGTCTCCCAGGCTGGAATGCAGTGGCATGCTAACAGCCACCGCAGCCTCGATCTGCAGGGCTCAAGTGATCTTTCCACCTCAGCCTTCCAAGTAGCTGGAACCACAGGTGTGCACCACCACAGCCGGCTGATTTTTTGATTTACTGTAGAGACAAGGTCTCGCCAAGTTTCCTAGGCTGTTCTCGAACCCCTGAACTCAGGCAATCCTCTTGCGTCCACCTTCCAAAGTGCTGGGATTACAGGTGTGAGCCACCGTACCCGGCAAATTGTTCATTTCTAAGATTCAAAGGAGAATGTAGGAGAAGGGAGTAGTTCGAAGAAAAATGGTTTAAAAAAAAAGAAATGAAAACCCAATCATATATTTCTGTAGGATTTACAAGACCAGCTGGAGGATATGATGGAAGATGCAAATGAAATCCAAGAAGCTCTGAGTCGCAGTTATGGCACCCCAGAATTAGATGAAGATGACCTAGAAGCAGGTAAGTTATGAGAAAAGCAATACATATTTAATTTTAGAGTCCAAAAGGAACAACTGCCCAGGATGTTTTCCCAAATGCTAGTGAAAATTTCTAACAAGATTCTCTGAAAGTTAGTTTATGGTACAGTCTCTGGGCAAAGAGCTGTGAGGCAGCCATATCAGAGTTGCATACTCCACCAACAACCCCGGGTTGGGAACACTCCGAAGGAAGATCCAGGCAAAGGCTGACCTGGTGCTTGGTATCTGTAATTGTCCTTAGCATGGCCTTTCCCTCCTGTTTTCCTTTTGATTTGGTTCTCCCTATTTTTCTACTTGGAGTCCTCTTCCTCAGAACAGCAAAGCCAATTAAGAAACAGTAGTTGGCAGATACTTAGTGTGCATCTACTATATGCTAGGCTCTGTACTAGGTGCCAAGAATTCAGCACTGAAGAAAACAAACAGGATCCCAGCATTCATGAAGCTTCTCCCCTAGCAGTGGGAGAAATATAAACTATTTGCTTTGAGTAATTAATTAGTAGAGCACAAGCTATGGGGAAGAAGTATGGGGTGCCATGGGAGCACAGAGCAGGGGAATCTAAACTTGTTAGTCATAGGGGACAGCCTTGGACCTGAAAGATGAGCAGGACTGGCATGGAAATGGGAAGTGTTGTTGAGTGGCCTCAGTGAGAGTGATTTAGAAGCTATTACTATAGTCATGCAAGAGACTACGATGATGGTAGCAGAAACAGAAGTAACTGGACTGATTGAAGACATTTGAGGAGGTTGAATGGACAAGACTTAATGATTAATTGGAGGTGGAGGAACTGGGAGGCTGTTAAGAATGCCGTCAATTTCTAGCATGAGTCACAGGGTAGATGGCAGAACCACTCCACAGTGTATTTCTGTCACATGATTCCTATCATGCTCCTTTTTTTTCCCTCTCTCCTTCTCCATGGTCTGTTTTTACCTAGAAGCTTTTGGGGTTTCTTTCATTCATTTCTTTTTTATTTTATTTCTCATCTTGAATTCCCCCTGATGAGTCTACCTACTATTGCTATTCTTCTTGACTTCCAACCCACTTTACCGTAAATTTATTTTTAGAGTCTAATTTCATGTAATAGTCACACGGTATACAGCAATTGCATTCCCTCTTTTATTGTCTTCTTTCAAGTATATCAACACATGAGAGAAATTTTTATATTTGTTATTATCAGGATTTTCCAGTTTGAATTGGTCAACTGATAACCCTAGAGTCTTCTCAGGAAGACTGGGGCCTTGTAATCTGAAGAAATGGTCATTTTGTTTGTTTTATTTTGCTTTTTGTTTTTCATGGATTTTACCACATAAGTTTTCTTGCAGATTTCTTATAATGGCCATCCTTTATTTTGAAAATAGAAATTAAGAATCCCTTTCTCTTTGTATTTAAATTTTCTTCTTATTACAAATAATTTGGCTAACTTTCTTGACAGTAACTGCCAATTTTCTTGCTTAAATTTTTTTTTTTAAATGTTGATTGTTTCGATCTCAGAGTTGGATGCACTGGGTGATGAGCTTTTGGCTGATGAAGATAGTTCTTACTTGGATGAGGCAGCATCTGCACCGGCAATTCCAGAAGGTGTCCCCACTGACACGAAAAACAAGGTGAAAGCCTCTTCTGTTCATATTTCTAGGCAAGATTGTAAAAGTTTTATTCTTGACCAACAGTCTGGGAATCTACATGGTAGAATAAGGAAAGACAGTCATGATCATTATCTTGGGAACCCTTGAAAGCCCAGTTTTCCTGCACTGGATGATGAACTAGCTGCACTAATAGTATCAGTGAGAGCTGGGCATGGTGGCTCATACCTGTAATTCTAGTACTTTGGGAGGTGGAGGCAAGAGGATTGCCTGCACCCAGGGGTTCAAGACCAGCCTGGGCAACTTAGCAAGACCTCGTCTCTACAATAAATCAAATTAGCTGGGCATGGTGATGCACACCTGTGGTTCCAGCTACTTGGAAGGCTGAGGTGGAATGATCGCCTGAGCTCAGCAGGTCAAGGCTGCAGTGGCCATGAGCATACCACTGCACTCCAGCCTGGATGACTGAGACTCTGACTCAAAAAAAAAAATAGTGTCAGGCTCAGGAATTTTGTTTGCAATAACAATTTGCATAATGCACATAATCACCCTTGTGAGCCAGCAGTGGGTGTCATTGATAGTTTTTAGACATTTCTTAGGAAAGCATCAGCAGCACATGCATGAGACTTGCTATGCAGCAGTGTAAAAGAAAGTCTCACTCTCCAGACACACTAGTTAATCATTGGGTGGATTTTTTAAAACTTGAGATTAATACTTTAGGTATATAACTTAATACAGAAAGATTCTAATTCAACAAGGTAAAAGAATGAGGACACTTGACACTAACTAACTATGACAAATCAGTGAGTTGTTTTGAATTTTTCTGTTCCTTGCTGTGCAAAATGTAGATAATTACAAGTCTCACATAACTGTTGTGTGAAGCAAATTAGATCTTTTATGTAAAGAACTTTGCAGACTTAAAGCTCTGTCCAAATTCTACATGGTTGTTGTTATTATAAATAGATCTTACTGCTTATCTTCATCTTAGTTCATCTTAGTTCCTCATCAGTTTTTCCCATCTGTAAAATATAGGCCCAAGGGCAGGGAACAGATAATTTTTCAGGTTCCTTATCGCTGATTTCTGTGAATGTACATCTTCCTCTATTATACTTCTCCCTTCTCCCTTGAGCCTTCGGATGGTCTTACCTTTCTTTCCTGCCCACCCCGCTTCACCTCCACCTCTGTAGCCACTCAGGATACCAGATGCATTGGTTGCTTTTTCTCAGCACACCTGAAATAACTTTTATTACTATTACCATAGCCCAGCTTTCCTATTCCCTAGTACCAGGTCCCTGAAGCAACTATGTTATTTCCACTCTTAGAAGGTCAAAGATTCCTGAGTTAAATGTACTGTGGAGATATGATTTTTTAATTGACAGAGGTGTCACTGCCTGTGTTTTTGTAGTAAAGTATTATATGGAAGCCTGTCTGAGGGCACTGCTCCTTCAAGGATTTGGGAGGCTAAAAAGATATTGATTCACGTTAGGGATCAAAGTGAAGAGGCAAGGTCTGACTCTTTAGCCTTTCCTTCTTGACCCTCCCAGCTTCCTTTTCCCTATTCCAGGTTTACTCTTACATTTCTTTCTCTCTGTTTTACTCTTCCTGACTCTTCACTCCCTCCTTTACCTTTCATGAAAAAGCCTGTTCTGCATCTTGTAAGAGATTTGGGTTTTGATTGATTAAACACTTGGAAATGAATTTGACTATTAAATGTTTGTAATTATTTGTTATCACGTGAAAAATAGTAGCACTAAACATTGCCTCCTTTTCACAGGATGGAGTCTTGGTGGATGAATTTGGATTGCCACAGATCCCTGCTTCATAGACTTGCATCATTCAAGTACATCGTATAAAATAAAACATGTTATGGGACTAGGAAATATTTATCTTTCCAAATTTGCAATAACAGATTTAGGTTTCTTTTCTTTCTTTGAAAGAAAGATTAATTACATTGCTCTTTTATTTTTTTCCGTTAAGAGACTCATTGCTTGGGAAATGCTTTCTTTGTACTAAAATTTGATTCCTTTTTCTCTTATCAAAGACTAACTTACTTAAAAAAGTATCTTTGGCTTTGTATGACTTGTCATTCATTAATAGTTTGAAATAAAACCAAGGAAATGAGAATCTTTATAATCTATGACAATGTAACTCTACAGTATCAAAATGACCAGATAAATTGATAGGACAAAGGTAAGATTATTGGGGCTGTTCATATTATGATTCATTTTCTCTTGTGGTATTATAGGTTGGTTAAAGTGATGGCCTTTTTTGATAAATTTTGTTGTGTCTTGTGAGCAAATCATTATTGTGCCCAGTATTGGAATGGAATTATCACTACTGTATCATGAGTGGATATTTTGATTCTGTGTTTCTCTCAGTATTACATCCTGACTTGTAATCAACAATGAATATTTCTTGATATTTAATGTATAGGACATTTATTTATACTCAATAAATATTTTTCAAAAGGATATAATTGTAATAATATTACTTCAACTTAAAACTTCTACTATAGAAACCAAATTTAATATAATTTTAATGTCTATTCAGCCTAAAACTCCATTACAGAAGTCCAATTAACCAGTAACATTGTGTATAAAGGATAAACAAGGAACAACTGGGCTTAAGCCCTGGGTCTACCATCTACTAACTACTGAGTAGTCTATTCTCTCTAAACTTCTGTTTCTTTATTAGTAAAATCGTGCTTAACTCACAAAACTTCTGTGAGGAACAATTGAGGTAATGGTCATGATACTGTGTTAACTGCAACATACGTTCCTATATGAGGATTATTATCGTTAAAAAAGCAGGGGTTTCCTTCTTTCCTTGGGAGGTGCCTGGAGTACTACAGCAAGTTCAAATTCCTGCCTGATTTCAGGATCTTTGATGATCCTCTCCTCCCTTCCTCACTCAGCTTCCTGCCAACAGCATTCCCACTTCAGCCTGGCTGGGTGCCATAGTTCCATGTACAGCAGATTTTCACATGTCTGCAGACCAAACCAAAAAATGTTTGTGAACACCAGTTTTACAGAAGTCTGTGAATCAGCCCAGAGGTTACCAGGAACAATCACAGTTCCTCTCTTCAAGAGTTTACTGTCTAGTTATAAGTGAAGATGACACATGTAACTGTCTCCCATCCCTAACAACCTCACCCTTTCAAGAAGCCTTCCAGAGCAGAGGGAGCAAACATTACACTTCTCATTACCATCTTGAAACCTTTCTTGACTTCTCTATTCTGGTTTTTCTTCTAGTCTTGCCACTTATTGTCTTCCATGGACACCTCTTTCTCACTCAGTGCCTTCAATATTTCTTCCATTGTAGTTCCAATCGTACTTTCCCTGAGAAATCTCACACCCATTATTCTCCAACTACAGTATTATCCATGCACTTATGACTCAAAATAACTGTCACTAGCCTAAACATCTTATCCTTATTTTCAATTCCAGGCCTTTCCATTTAAATGTCTCACTGTTTGAATATAACATATTCAAATTAAGATTTTTATCTTGGGGTTCACTCTCAGCAAACATTTCTCTTTGATGTTTTTGTCTTACTGATGTTATCCATTTCTAATGTAACACGTATTTTAATGGGTAAAATTTAGCACTCTAGCTAGACCACATTAGTGCATTGGATACCAGTGAGCAGTCATTCTGGGCAGTTCTTTACTTCCATGGCTTCTGTGACAGTACTCTCTGGTTCTCATTTTCTTCTATTTCTTCCAAGACTTCTTTCTGAAATCCTCATCTCTCCTACCCTGTAAGGTAGTGTTCTCTACTCACTTAAATTTAGTGATCTCAGCTATTCTCATGACTTTAATTACTAACTTTCAAATCTATCTTTGATTTTGCCCATGTTTCAGAATTTATTGCTATCCAGCTCTTTGTCTAACAATTATCTGGATGTTCCAGAAGCCCACAAGCACCTCATATTTAATGGCCAAGACTACCTACCACCTTTCCGACCTGAATCTCCTGCTCCCATCTCAGTTAATGGAACCATTATCCTCCCATCATTCAAAACAGAAAGCTCTTGGGTTCTTGATCCCTACATTTTGCTTCACCTTATACTGTCAATCATCATTAAACCTTGCTTTTAGCCCCTAAGTGTTTCTCAACTCCAACTCCTCCTCTCAGCTCTCCTTGTCCTAGACATCTCTCACTTAAGCTTTCGGAATAAATGCTTTCTCTTCTTGCAGAGTTTCACTTTGAAGTTCATTCATCACATATAGCTACACTTAACCTTTCCAAAATACAAATCTGACTTAAATTATTTAGTGGTTCCCTAGTACCTATGTGTAATGGTTTATTTTTTAGTCTTTTCAGAACAGCATTCTCTTTCTTTTAGGGAACTGCCTCCCCTATTTCAACTATGTGATCATTGGGAAAATGCCAATTTTATTTTTTGTACAGACAAGGTCTCACTACGTTGCGCAGGCTGGTCTCAAACTCCTGGGCTCAAGCAATCCTCCTGCCTCTGCCTCCCAAAGTGCTGGGATTATAGACGTGAACCACCATGCCCAACTAAAACTCCAGTTTTAGAGTAGCCTTGTCCTTATTCTTCTAAGCCATAAAAGTATGCATGTAATCAGGCTATGCTTATCAGAGTCCATCCCTCAGACTTTCTAAGTGGAAAGTAGGGAAAGTGCTTTTTTTCCCTTTTCCTATTCTTTTACTCTTTGTCAGTATGAGATTAAGGCCAGAGAGCCCCCAAAATAAGAGGCAGAATAAAAGAATACTCTGAATTCTGAATCTTGAAATTTCCAGAGTGCCCCAGGTCTCTACAGCTTTTCCTTTGATTCTGTGAGCTATCTGGGGATTCTGCCAATAAACCACTCTTCTACTTAAATTTGTTGGAGTTGGGTTCCTGTCACTTGCCAGTAAGAGTCCTGGGTAAATTAGCTGGGTATGGTGGTGTGTGCCTGTAGTTCTAGCTACTTGGAAGGCTGAGGCAGAAGGATCACTTGAGCCCAGCAGGTCGAGGCTGCGGTGGCTGTGAGCGTGCCACTGCACTCCAGCCTGGGATGACAGAGTGAGACTCTGACTCAAAAAATATAGAGAGAGCTTTTTTTTAGAGCCCGCACCCAGGGTCCCCTTCGCTCTGAAAAAAAAAAAAAATAGAAAAAAAGGAGTCCTGAGTAATTCCTCTGCAGCCTCTCTGTGCCTTGTCCCACTTTTCAATTTTATGCTCTAATAATTGCTCTGCTTCTGGTCCCCCCATATCCACCATACAGTTATAATTCCATGCCTGTTCTCCCAACCTGAAGTTCTCCCAACCTGAAGCTTCCTTAATGCCTTTGTCATTCTGCTAATTCTTCCTGCATTGGGGAAAGGCCAAATGGCATGCCTGGGTCTGTATTAATACCAGTGAACTTAAGAAAAGTAAAGAGGAGAGGATGCAGCCTGTGGTAGAGAGCTCTAGGCACCAAAAAGCATCTGATCATCACTCCTATAGCTACCACCATACAACCTTACAGGTCAATGTTTCACCTCTTAACCATTAGGGAGAGGCAGAATTGAGTGCAGATGGTCTTAGGTTTTAATCTGTCAGCTCTGAGAGTTTGGTCAAGGTGGGGAAGGAGATTGGAATGATCCAATAGAGAGTAAAGTTTGACTTTTAGCATCCATATCCCTTAGTTTTCCTTTTATATTTTCTTATAGTTACATCACCTGGAGAGCTATTAAAAATATTGATGCCAGCCAGGCACGGTGGTCCACACCTGTAATCCCAGCATTTTGGGAGGTAGAGGCAAGAGGATTGCCTGAGCTCAATGGTTCAAGACTACCAAGTTAGTCTTCCAAGACTTGGAAGGCTGAGGCGGAAGGGTCACCAGAGCCCAGTAGGTCGATGCTGGGGTGACCGTGAGCCTGCCACTGCACTCCGGCCTGGGCGACAGAGTGAGACTCCAACTAAAAAAAAAAAAAAAAAATTAGAGACTGAATTAGTAATAATTAATAAAAAAAAAACTTCCTATAAGGAAAAGCCCAGACCCAGATGACTTCACTGGTGAATTCTACCAAATGTTCAAAGAATGAACACCAATCCATCACAAATTTCCAAAAACTTGAGGAGGGAATATTCACAACTCATCCGTGGATGAGAACTTGTACCTTAGGGCAATTATTGCCTACTCCTTTACCACGGAAATTGATGGCAACAGCCCAGGCTGCTGATCCATGAAAACAGGTTCAGACTGATCAGCCACCCTAAAGCACCAGCTCTCAACTTTAGCTACACATAAGAACTACCTGGAGAACTTTTGAAATTCCAAATGCCCACATGGTATCCAGATCTATTATATCCAAATCTACAGGGATAGGACCCAGGCATCAAATTTTTATTTTTATTTTTTGAATCAGTCTCACTCTGTCACCCAGGCTGGAGTGTAGTGGCATGTTCATGGCTACTGCAGCCTTTAACCTGCTGGGCTCAGGTGATCTTTCTGCCTCAGCCTTCCAAGTAGCTGGAACTATAGGCATGTGCCACCACACCCGGCTAACGTTTTTGATTTATTGTAGAGACGAGGTCTTGCCAAGTTGCCCTGGCTGGTCTCAAACCCGCGGGCTCAGGCATTCCACTCGCCTCAGCCTCCCAAAGTGCTGGGATTACAGGCTGAGCCACCAAACCCAGTCCAGTCTCTAATTGTAGTTCTATTCAGATTTTCTATTTATTCTTGAGTCCGTTTTGGTAGTTTGTATAGTCCTAGGAATTTGTCCATTCAACATAGTAATTTGTTGCCATACACTTGTTCATAGTATTCCCTTTTGATCCTTTTCATTTCTGTAAAGTTGGTAGTAGCATTCCCTCTTTCATTACTTAATTTTAGTAATTTAAGTTTTCTTTCGTTCTTGGTCATTCTATCTAAAAGTTTGTCAATTTTAGCCAGGCATGATGGCTCGTGCCTGTAATCCCAGCACTTTGGGAGGCAGAAGGACTACCTGAGCTCAGCCTGAGCAACATAGCAAGACCTCATCCCTACAATCAATCTAAAAATTAGCTGGGGATGGTGGTACATGCCTGTGGTTCCAGCTTCTTGGAAGACTGAGGCAGAAGGAATCTAATAGGTTGAGCCTGCAGTGGCCATGAGCATGCCACTGCACTCCAGCCTGGGCCACAGAGTGAGAATATGGCTCCAAAAAAAAGTTTGTCATCTTTGTTCCTTTTGTTCAGTGAACTCTTTTATGTCAATTTTTTTTTATTATTTCATTCTATCTACGTGTTTTGATTTAATTTGCTCTTCTTTTTCTTTTTTTAGATCGGAAAATATACTTTATTTAGAAAGTAAATTAAAGAGAGAGATTTCACATCCCCAAGATAGAGGAGGGGGCCAGAACTAGAAAACATGGTAGCTGTAGCTCAAAGAGCAAGTGGACACACAAGTGTTTAACAAAGCAATGGCCTGCTCTTCTTTTTCTAGTTTTTTTTTTTTTTTAAGTTAATTGAGGATTTATTATGTTGTTTTCTACAAGTA